ATTCTGAAAAGTAATACGGATAAGTGAAATTGTGCTCTCACATACCAAACAGATGACTATATCTCGCTATAAAGAGGACCGTATTTGTGGCCTGCAGTTCTAGAAAATAATTGATCAGACAGAGCTGTAACCAGATATAAGATAAGATTGTAAATAGGTCAGACGTATTTCACACATATTGTGTAATCTTGCCTTTTCTTTCTACCATTCCATTAGGTAGGAAATTAGTCAAAGAGTGTCATTAAGCTTGTAATATATGAAAATGACTTTGTTCGCTAGAGATTCCATTCTCACTTTCAAATACGATTTGTACTATTTTCATGTAATCGGACAATGGAAGTGGAAGTATGGCTTATGTAATAACTGGACTTGCCGTGGAACCAGAAATTTTCTTATACCGAGGGAAATTCAAATTCACAAAGATTATCGTCTTAAAGTCGAAAGTGCCACTCGTAACCGACTGTATTTTCCACTGCCAATATTCATATTGTATTAATCCTCTTAATGTTTATCTATGAGATTGTATATTCGTAATCGGAATGCTTTATGCTTTGCGATGATTTAAGGTATTCTTCTTGCACTTTTGGAGTACATTTTTATGTTACCCAAACACTAAGCATTTTAGAGTGACAATTATACGTCAGTAAGAAGTAAGGTACCGGTATTTTCAAAATTAGAGCAATGCGTAGGATTCTTTTCGATTTTGAAAATTTTCTTTGCATGTCATTTAATCCTTGCTAGCAATGATTTGGAATACTCACTTTGATGTAGACCCTGTGGTTTTGCAAAAGAGCATAAGAAATATTTGAGAGAGAAGGCATTGAGGAGAATTTGTCAAACATACAGGTGCATTTTACCATTTTCCTTCGTTGATAGTAAAAGTTGAAATTGATCAGGATTAATTAGTTTTCAACAGATAAAAACATTATCAGTATGCCATTGTTTGTAACATATGGCAATAAAAAAATGTGACCTACTCACCTTAGAGCGCCCACAACAGAACATTCCCGTTATCAACCTTCCAAACGATTCTATCCACGGAATAAGCATGGAGCTAATCCTCCACTCAACTCTACATGTTTAAAATCATACCCAACACATAATGAATATAATCATACACCGAATTAATCCATGAGTTAGAAATCCTAGAAATATAAACGGTTCCTGGTAATAGAACACCTTCTGCCATTCCAAATCCAATTTATATACACCTAGTCTACAGATGGTAGAAATATAAACATACTTCTTATGACATGGTTTTATGTGTCAATTTGCCTTCATTATAAGGAAGAAGAACGACAAACATTAGAGTGATAATCCATACATCTATTTTCTGCTCGTGGTCTATAATTCACTTATAAAACGTCAAGATGACTGGAAAGCTGTCATAGTGTCGTCGTTTGTCGTCAATAAAAACAACCTTAGTTCGTCGAGTATTAACCAAGAGAATACCAGGCACTAACTAGGATCATAGTAGTACGAACGCTAACTTGGAAAGCAACATATACGATAAGGCATTAACGGTCGATGACTTGCTATCGAATGGAAAAGAATCGACGTGTTTCCATTGTAAAAGACACAGTTGTATTGGAAATATGTTAAGGCCAATAGAACGAATAAATTATCAAGTCGTAGATGTATTTCCCGATTCTATTGTTTCATTATATATATTATTTGATATTTGATGTAATTGTTAACCATTTTGAAGCAGATCGAGAGAGGATGGAAATATATCCGTCAATACGTTTCCATGGAAACTTGTGACCTGGTGGCGTTGACAAGTATCCTTAACATCTACATTGATTCAATGGAGTCGGCGACTTGGAGTTCAACAATGCTTCATCAGAACGTGAGTTAAGCACGTGCACCTGTCACTGTGGGATTTGGTCAAGTCAACATTAGTAATGAAAATAATAATCTGTTTATTGATTTGATATTAATTAGATCAATATTAATTAGCCGGCGTCTATTCTCGTTAATCTCGGCTTATAACAGGCAGTAATGGTCCGATTTATTAATATCATATAGATATATAAAAATACCACCTAGGGGGTCAACGAACAACATGGTAAAATAAATTTAAAAGGGATTGCAATGAGGCTTTCTGGTGATTTAAACATAAGACTGTAAGGTCAGCAATTCCAATTAATTTCAACAGAAAAATTACACCTCAATCAAAATACATTATTCAAAATAAATTTCGATTTAGTTTAAATGGTTAAAATTTAATTGTTGGGTCATCAACGTCATACCAAAATTAATTACGGTATTTTTAGAAATCCTCTTTCCTCCTTCCTAGTGGGGTTTTTGCACTACCTATTATTGACTAATTTGTGGCTTAGATTTGGAATTTGATGTCAGATTTTGTGAGATGATTAGATTTACATGCGGAAGGATAATTCTAAAAAAGTTGTTTTGTGTGCATTGACAGTCAAGCGGATGTTGATAAAATGTAGTGATCTACTTTCAGTTTGGCTAGCTCACAATTTTCATGATGTTATATTAAACCTTTGTCCAGAAACTAAGCATTGGCCAGACTTTCATGTGACATATTGAAAAGTTTTCAACGACATTCAGAAGGTTGAATTTCGAGATTTAAGATGGAAACAGAAGGCAAATGAATTAACAGAGTTGGTCCTTATAGTGTGAAGGCTATTAAATTGTCAATATATCTTTCTTGATTACATACTGTGGTCTTTATCTTCAAAGATGTTTTATGTTGTCAAGGTTTCAGTCTCCTGTTTATGGTTTGGGCAGACAGAATAGTTTTATTTAATTCATATTATTTCGCTGAAACAGGTAGAATACCTTGAACCTTATATATTTGATATTAAACAGGTTATAGATCAGAGAGAATAGTTACTGTTAAAGACTAATTGCATGATATACGTAATAATACGAAATGCATTGCTCCACAATAGTGTGAACATACGCCTGTTCATCCTGATGATAACAATATAAAGAATTCACCATAGTATTCATCGTCACAATGTCAAGCTATTCCGAACCCCGTCTAAACCTTGACATCATTAGGCATTTTTCATGTATCGCGGGAGATTTTAATTGCAGAGATTTGATTGGAATATACTGCTAGCTAATACAGCTAACCAATTGCGTTAAGTGCTTGACATAGTTTATATAGTATTCGTTTTTTTTGTTGGTGTAGATAAGTAGATAATGTGTATGCCACTGCAGCATTTGATGGGTGTATGTATCTCTTCATCCATTGTTTAAGTAAAAGTTCAGATCAACTTTTCTCAGACGGACATAATCATGCCCAAGTAAGTGGTCTACGTGTCATATTAGTTTTAAACAGACATCAATGGTAATGTTAAAGTTATTACAAGATCCCACAGCGTGAAACTCTGAGAAACTACGTTCTTCGGGTTTTGTTCTAATATGTTTCTAAGATGGGTATAGTTTTATCTCTACTCCAGGGGTAATGGTGATTGTTTGGTGGGTGATGTGATACGACTGATGGAACCAGTGATCACTCTGTAATAATATTTATATTATTAGAACGACGCTTTGCTATTTGAAATGGGATACAAATTGTATAAATTACATAAAACAACTTCAGCACCAAACAGGTTATATAGCACATCGATATGATAAATCATAATTCAATTTGAATGTAATGAAAATCAACAACAACAATGTGAAGGATAGGTGCATTTGCTGAACTTTAATTGGGCTGAAGTATATTGGCAACAACATTGCAATGTAAGCGACTGTTCATAGCTTCTATAACCTAAATAGGTGTACAATCAGATAAAATCATAAAATTAACTGCATACAAATGTGAATTAAAAGGGAGTGGCCATAATTATGAATTGTATGGGACTTTTTTTGATTCGGTCAAGTCTTATACTTCTGCTTCTGTTGATCACGATATTTGGTGATGCCAACAGTTGCCAGCATTCGTTTTAAACCAAGCTGCTCTTGAGATCGGAAGGTAGACCTCTCCTCGTTTTACAGCTGATTTCAGTAAGATTAATTGATATATTTCTATTTCAGTTCTGACTGAACTTTATCATACCTTTACTAACTTCCTCTATCTGCAATGATACCTTTACAGTCTTCTTTGAGATATTCTGTTTTCTATTGTCTTTCGACGAATTCACTTGCATGGTTAAATTGCACACAAGACACATCCTGAATGCTATTTCTCATAGATAATTTAATAAGCTTAATATCATGAAGGTGTATTATGTAGTGCAGCATGGAATTTATAATGACGGATCGCTTATATGTCGCTCATGCGTTTCGGACAGGGCGGGAAAATCGAGGCAAACGTGTACCAATACGGAAACATGCTTGGCAAATGCAATGATAATTGAGATTGAACTAGTCTGAACTATTGATTTGATTATAGATTGTTTTATAATAGTATAATAGATTTACAATCAACATGTAACTACGTCAAGAATAAAAACATTGATTGATGCGAACCAATATTCCATGGCAATTCTAGGCGTTAAGTCGTTTGTTATATTCTCTATTAATTGTCAATATTATTGATATTCACGACCAGAATAGACTATATAATGCATCAAAACGTGATTCTTAAATAGAAAACTCAACCAAATGCAATGGTGCAATCTGTTCGAAATATTTTATTTCATTGATGATAGTCTTATCTGACATCAACGGAAATATGTTGATTCTGGCATAGGTTAATACGATACCTTCGGATTTTCAACTCGGTCAATGATGCAAGTGGAGTTTTAATATGGAAATAAACGTTCAATTATTCGGATGGGACCGTTACGGAGACAAAACCAAGGCCCCATACCTCTCAATGAAAATGGAGAAGGCTTTATTGTTTTTTGTTTTAAAGTTTATGTTTTTGTCATGTCTTTCTTTATCAAAGTGACAATTTGATCCTTATGTGAAAGGTAAAAGGTTCAAGAAACGACCTTCTCACTCGCTAAACGAGCATAAATATGGACCATAATGGCTGAGCTAGCATTGCTTCTAAATAATGAAGACTATGACCAGAGAGTTTTTGTGTATTATATTTGTAATGGAAAAGAAAACAAATAGTTGATACAAGACAATGGTTCAAATTTTATATGTAAAGGGAGATAAATCCAGTATCACAATCTTACTGGTCTATTTCAAACTAGGAGGCAATGGACAGAGATAAGAGCCAATGCTACAAAATTATTATTTCCAGCTGTAGATATTGGTCTATCCGGAAAACAACGACTTGCTTCTTCTGTAGATCTATGAGCTTCAAAGAGCTGAGACGTGCAGTAGAAATCTGGCAATAAGGCTTAATGGCGGCGCTTTTAGGGCACGTTGTTGCCACAAAATATTTCACATGCTTGCGCCCATTGCGCTTCCGCATTGAGAATATCAAACTCGAGTGAGATAAAAGAACGATTAAGTTTCAAACAATTTTATTGCAAGAAGTAACAAAACAGGGTCTGAGCTATAGGTAACGCGGTTTACTTACAAAATACCTTTTATTCTAGGTCGTTTTCTACAAAAACCCATTAGACCAGTTTGTAGAAATGCGACCAAGATACCCGAAGGCATAATTGTAAAAATTGGCTACCGTTGTTGACTTTAAAAAAAACGTCTAATTATGTCACAGTTTATCACAAACAACTGATGGTATATATTTTAAATTATTGTAGTGTAGTATATACACAATGACCAGAATGACAACACAAAACTCTTCCATCTTAGAAACATTTTCTGTGGACGATGGATGGACCAGATTCATCATATTCCTGTTTGGAGATCCACATCTGTTGGAAGGTAGAAAGAGAAGCCAAGATAGATCCACCAATCCATACGGAGTATTTTCTTTCTGGAGGAGCAATGACTTTGATTTTCATGGTAGGTGGAGCAAGGGAGGTAATCTCTTTCTGCATTCTGTCAGCAATACCTGGATACATAGTGGTTCCGCCGGATAAGACAGTATTGGCATATAGATCTTTACGGATATCAACATCACATTTCATGATGGAGTTATAAGTTGTTTCGTGAATACCAGCATTTTCCATACCCAAGAAAGATGGTTGGAACAAAGCTTCGGGACATCGGAAACGTTCGTTACCAATAGTAATAACTTGACCATCGGGAAGTTCGTAACTCTTTTCCAAGGAGGAAGAATTGGCTGCTGTTGACATTTCCTGTTCAAAATCTAAAGCGACGTAACATAATTTTTCTTTAATGTCACGAACGATTTCTCGTTCAGCAGTGGTGGTGAATGAGTAACCTCTTTCAGTTAGGATCTTCATGAGGTAGTCAGTTAAATCTCGGCCAGCCAAATCTAATCTCATAATGGCGTGAGGTAGAGCATAACCTTCATAAATTGGTACTGTGTGACTTACACCATCCCCAGAATCAAGGACGATACCAGTGGTACGACCAGAGGCATACAGAGACAATACAGCTTGGATAGCTACATACATAGCTGGTGAGTTGAAGGTTTCAAACATGATTTGTGTCATCTTTTCTCTGTTGGCCTTTGGATTTAAGGGAGCTTCTGTTAAAAGGACGGGATGTTCTTCTGGGGCAACTCTCAATTCGTTGTAAAAAGTGTGATGCCAAATTTTCTCCATATCATCCCAGTTGGTGACAATACCATGTTCAATTGGATATTTTAAGGTGAGGATACCTCTCTTGGATTGAGCTTCATCTCCTACATAGCTGTCTTTCTGTCCCATACCAACCATAACACCCTGAAAACATAAAAGTTGAATTGTAAATAATGCCAAGAACAATATATTAGCGCTGAAAGCATCATGAAATTCCTTAATAAATATGACCTTTCCTTAAACAAAAGTCGACCTTTGGCGAAAATAGACACGAACACAAAAACAATATTCCTAGTGAGCCAAAAATAGTTCCATATTTCTATTTCTATTTCATGACCACTCGAATCAATTGAATTTTCTAAACAAATTTTCCCTTTCCATCAAATCCGTCTCTCAAGTTATTTAGCAAAAAACAGATAAAAAAAACCCGGCATAATTTCATAAATCAACAAAAATTACTACTTTTGGTGATGTCATAAATTTGATTTTATATTCCACTGTATCACAAAAGATAGAGGCTGTTTGTCTATTCATAATATCACAAATTAAAATAATAATTTTGTTTTCATTGTAGATCAATTATTAATAATTTCTATATTCCGAATCATAGGCTTACAGTTTGTACTATTTAGTATCGGCATACAGCACAGGGCATATTATATCATTTTAACTTACATATCGAATGTTTTGACATTTTTGTTTTGGAATATGTTTTTAAGATGTAAATTAGAAATTAATGCAGGGAATTCTATCGAATAAAATAAATAAAAACTTACCTGATGTCTTGGTCTTCCAACAATGGAAGGGAATACAGCTCTGGGGGCGTCATCCCCAGCAAAACCGGCTTTACACATACCGGACCCATTGTCAATAACCAAGGCAGCTACTTCGTCTTCCATGATGCGAATGATAACTAGACCCTGACTGTCTAATTACTAATGATAAACTGAATGATAACGATGATCACGTATCATTTATATACTATCAAACCTCACTTCCAAGAAATACGTCTATGCCTGTCCCATATAAGGAGATTGACCATATAAGGCGCTGTCGACGTGTTTGGTGGGCGGGGCATGAAATCGTACCCCATCATTAGATAACGGTTTGAACATTATCACTAGCTAGTACCTTAGGTTATAATTGATTGAGCGATATATAATATGTGAATATGATAAACACTGATAAAGTTATGTTATATCACTACAGCCGAGGCGGTGTAACAATCATTGACCGAACGGACTTCCACTATAGGCCTATCCTGTCCGATTTCCGTTCAAAATTCTGAAATATTTTAATAACTCGACCAAATCTCTATTTGAAGTCGGTCATCAAATTAGATCAAACTCATTGACGAAATTAGCTTATTTGGGAAGAGTTTAGTTCGATAAAGAGTAGCCCTCTGCTGCTGTGTTGGACGGTTTAGATACTTAAAATCCTTGTAAAATTTAACTAAAATGTTGACAGAAAGTTTTTGTGTGAAACAGGAGCGAAGAATGTTAGTTAACATCATGATCTCTGTCTTAGAAAGACTGGTTATGAATGGCACATCGATATACTGACTTCTCAAAAAATAATTTTAAAGTACGGTATCTTTATCATAAATTGCACCCGACCACCTTTCCAACTTTTTAAATATTCTTTGTAATGAGAAATATTTCCTAAAATGGATGTTCAACATTCGGATTAAGAAAAAATAGTTGCATTTCTAATATAAATCAGATTTAATTAAATCGACCTGATTAAAAGGATTTTTTGATTTGACCTCAGGGGAGGGTTCATACTGTTATCTCAGCATGTAATGATAACACTGTCAATGTATGATGAATGACTAAAAGCCACGAGCAATTATATTGATGATGTATTACTTATTATGACCTATACTAATGATTAAAAATAAAAATAATATTGGATATTATTACATCAGAGTAATGGATGTTTGCCAAACTGCCACTCAATGGTTGATTAATCCTTAGCTGGCCATATGTTTAACATTAGTATTGGCTAATATATACCGAATTGTAACAACAGGCCAAAAGAAAATAAGCGAGAAACAAAATACTTGGTATTCATTAGAAAACATTTTGACTACAAATTTCCATAATCTCTCCAATTTCTAATGTATTTAGATTATTGTAAATTGTATTTACGTGAATTAATGCATCAGCTTCTTACGGTAGTTCGTATACGACATCATTTTTTTTTCAATTTTAAATTAAAAAACTGGAATATAATTATAAAAAATGATTTTGAATTAAAAACTTGTATTTCACCAGGGTGAAAAATAATTCAATAATAATTCAATAATACTTACTTAAAAACTTGAATTTTCACAGGGGTAATTCAATATCTAACAAAAAAAACTTCAAGCTTTTAATCAAATATTATTGAAAAATCCAAGTTTTTAATTCAAAATTCTAGAATTTTCACCCAGATGAAGTTTTTAATTCAAAATTATGTTTTATAATTATATTCCAGTTTTTTAATTCAAAATTTAAATAAATAAATGATGTCGTATACGAACCACCGTAGCTTCTTACCAGATTTTTAATTTTTTACATATGAAAAGATAGCTTGCAAGGCAAGGTAACATACGCCCACTGGCAGCTGTCAGAAATGGTAAAACAGTCTTTAGTGACTATAGTACGAATTTTCTCATATTGAAGAAATTTTATTAGTTTGAATTCAATTACATATATATATATGCCAGTTATTTATGCTGAGTAATTTCCATAAAATTTTTAAAAATCAATATCAATAACGCAAATACAACAAACAATTAAATCACACAGCTCTAATCAAGGGCAAAAAGTATTTCCTAAGTCAAGGGCAATAAGTCAAAAACTGTTCAAACTTGTCCACGATCTCATCAATATAAATGATCACACCAAATTTCATTAAAATCTGTTGAAAGCTGTAGTTTCTATTATGTTCACAAACAAATTTTGACGCGTTTTTCCTAAGTCAAGGGCAATAACTCAAAAACCCTTCATCAAAAAATCGTCAAATTCGAACATGACCAAGATCCCAAGAATATAAATCATCACACCACATTTCATTCAAATCGGATGAAAACTGTAGTCTCTATTGTGTCCACAAACAAATTTATAACTTGTCCGAGATCTTATCAATTCCAATGACCACGCCAAGTTTCAGAATCGGTTGAAAACTGTAGCTTCAATCCTGCTCACGAACTATTTTTAACAAATTTAGACGCGTTTTAACAAGGTCAAGGGCAATATCTAAAAGACCGTTCATCGAAAATACGTCAAATTCGAACTTGGCCGAGATCTTATCAATTTAAAGCATCACATCAAGTTTTATCAAAATCAGATGAAAACTTCAGTCTCTATAGTGCTCACAAGAAATGTTGACGGACGGACCGACGGACAGGGGAGACGACAATATACGACCACATATTGATGTGGGCGTATATATATAAAAAAAATGTAACTGGTCCACTTTGTAACAAAATAAGATTATAATGTGCCTATATTTTTATTTAAATTAAATTTTATATTTTAATTAAATCAAATTCTTTTGAAGTAGATATTCAATTGAAAATAACCAGTAAAATTTGGTTACTGACATGTTACCTATATGTTTCTGAAGAGCGTGATTTTAATAGGTCTTCATATTGAACTAGTTCATCACGATTTTACTATGAATTCCCATACTCGCCACCCGTTGATAAGAAATATTGAACATAGAGTATACGCTGATAACCAAAATATGCGAGTCATTGGAGATGTCGGACAGTCATCATTATGATGAACTTTAAACAATGAACTACAGTAATGTGTATATAGCCTATAGACATTTTTTTATAAGTTTACGTCCTACATTCCTGCACCGATTTGGCTAATGTAGATGGATAGGCGATGTTTCGTTTGTAGGTGGCGAGTTATTATAGGCCAAAGTTTTACCCCAAAACAACTCTACTACAAGAACCCCACCCCGTCGTTTTGAAATGCTGATAATTCTTTACCTAGATTTTAATTGAATCGTAATCAATCATAAAACAGAGGTTACAGTACTTGATGCTTTCAGTGAATGATACTTTAGCCTTAACAAGGTATGCTATTCTGGTCTTTTTTTGATTTTTTTCAAATAATTTTAAGATTTGTATTTCATTGCATTTTTATGTTCCTGTGTTCCAGTCTATTAGGTAGCAAAGGTGTCCCGTACTTTCTTCCTATATTCCTTGTTAAAGATTGTATTACTATATTTTGAAGATAACCATAAATGTTAAGTCTAGTTGTCTATTTATTTTTGAAGATACTGATCCCACACCAGCTCATATAGTGCCTTATTATTTAGAAAGGTATGTGTGATTGTTGCCACAGTAACGAAGTGAGGAGTCAAAATTTCAAAATAACTTTGGTATGAAACAAAAAAAAATTATGTCTTTTCATATGTTTGGTTTTTATACATTATAAATTACATTGCTTCATAAATTTCTGAACAAGCCCTTTTGCGTCCACAGTTATAAACCGAGCCACAATAATTTCACCAAGCCGTATCTCGTCGAACTGGCAATTGTATAAACAATCTGTACCACTTTGCAGAAAGGCATGTTGTTTTAAAATCCTCTTTCCTATTCGAATGGTTACTGTACAGTGTTTACCAAATCCCAAAGAATCTTTTTCCAAAACGCATATGGCTTCTGTCAAGTAAAGTCTTTATTGAAACGTTCCTAACAATTATCCCCGATATTTTTTTTATTCAAACTTGCATCATTAAGGTCATATCTTTGCTGTACAGTTACATGTCGATTTACCATTTTTATCTTATTTAAAAGAAATATTGTTATTTTTAGAGTCCATGCTGGGCAAACAACCCAAATTTGCGCAGTAAATGGTTTTGATATGCAAATGCTTTTTTTTGATATGAATTTAACACATGTGTTACAGAGATGGTTTAAACAGGATGGTATGGAATGTATTTTAAGTCGTGGTTTCGACTGAAATGGTTTTAAGAACTCGTTTTTACAAAAAAGGCCTAATGAGAAAAGGTTATGAAGGGAATGGTTATAAGTTATTTAAAGGCATGGTTAATGATATGGTTATGAAAAATGACCTGAGCTCACGTTCAAAAAGCAAGGCTATTTATACTTTTTCATTTCAGCTTTAATGATATAATATGAAATATCAGACGTAAAACTCGTCTGTAAAAGGATGATAAAGGTAAAGTGAGATAATACTTGATCTTTAAACTAAAGAATCATGATAACTATTGTAACTTAAAACAAGGGTTATTTCAGTCACTATACTAAATGCCTATAGTCTTAAAGGGATAATGACTTTTTTGTTATCTTATCCACTTCCCCTCCTTTAGAAATAAAAAACTTTTTTTTTAACTTTTCCACTGTAGAACCTTCATTTCGGGTCCCAATTCTACCGAAGACAGGTCACCTAAGACCATAGAGAATAAGAATGAGAATTAGAATGGGAATGTTTTACTATTACAAAATAAATGTTGAAAGTAAAGTTAAAGGGACATTCCGCTTTTTATTGTTGGTCGAATTTTTTTTTTTTTTTTTTTTTTGCTCAAATTTGTGAAAATTATACACCAAAATCTAGAGAAATGTGTGCCTTAGCGTATCTAAAAGTTTTAACTAAAAAATAAATTCAGCCATTAATTTTTTAACACCAAAACTATTTTTAAAGTTAACGTAAACTTTTTAAGTTTGATATGCTTTTTGGAAGCTGTTAAAAAACTACGGTATGGATTTAAGTAAAATTAACGCCTAATTGTCGAGAAATATGTCTCCCACATATTCTAAAAGATTCTACTAATGTTATCCAGCCATTATGAAGCCAAACACCAAAAAACTAAGTAAAACTGTTGATTACCTTCCGCTTTTAATTAACCCTTTTAAAACAAATTCAGTTTGATCAAGTAGATACATAGATGTAAATAGCATAATTATTTTAGAAAAAAATTTCAGGTATAACTTACGTT